ACTTAATATTATCAGCGTTCTGATGGCATTTTAGCCAAAGCACATCATTAATGTGCACAAATAAGGAATAGTTGTATTAACCATACATGAAAACAGAGTTTTATGGGGCCCCCAGGAACTCGGGGCCCCCAGGAACTGCCTAGTATTGCCTGATGGTAAACTTCTGGCTCTTCTCTTTTGCACAAAAATTCAAATTCAAAAATTGCAAATCATATTTATTCTCTCTTAACTTAAATGATTCCTGAAAACTAGAAGGAAGACTTTTGTTTACTGCTTTATACATTATTTTCAGTATTTTTATAAAAACAATAACTAATAACTAATAATTTTAATAAGTTTGTTTGAGTGAAAAGATTATCAGTTGGTTTACGGTATCCCGCCTTATTAATAAGCCTGAGAGCTTTTTTTTGCGACTTAGGTAACCTATTAATAATTAATTAATAATTTAATTAATAATTTTCCTCTTACTTCTGAACAACAAGACAAATAAGGCAAGACCAAAGAGGAAGATATAACATGCAGGCCTTTGATATTTATTCAATCTTTTATTTGAAAAAATATTCCAACAGACTTTTTCTAATATATTCGTTGTGAGGCTTGTCTATAATAATCCCTGAATTTGATTTTATTTTTTTATTGTCTATAATAATCCCTGAATTTTATTTTATTTTTTTATTGTCTATAATAATCCCTGAATACCATAAATGTAGTTTTTCCGTCATTTAACGAAAGCTCCACACACTCCCTCCTAGCCAGCAGACATCTTGGTTTTAAAAACAAATGGGTTTTTAACTTCAAACAACTCAGGCTTTCAGTCCTTTTCCAGTCTGCTGGGGGTTTGTTCCAGATCCATGGAGCATAGATGCTGCTTCTCCAGGTTTGGTTCCAGTTCTCGGTGGAGTGGACAGAGTAGGCTGGACTGGTCTGGGAGGTAGATCCACTGAAAACAGATCTGTTATGGATTGAGGTGCTGATGATCCTATAAGCACTTTGGGAGTTCCACAAAGTTCAGACATTTTTATTTCAAAGGTTTTCTGCTTTATCTTTGGCCACCATGTTGGTTTCATGAAATTCATTGACTTTTTCTTTCGTTCTCTAATGTTTGCAGTCAGAAAGAAAAGTCTGTTATTAAACATATTGGGCCGTAGGTTCCTCACTCCATGTACCTTAGAGAAAAATGCACACATAGAAAAACCATCTATAGCAGGAGGTGAAGCTGAGGTCAACTGTGGCAGAGATGGTCTGCAGAACCTCATCCACAACAAAACACCTAAAATTCTGCTTCTTCAAATAAAAAAATCTCTGTTATTAAATATCTGTGTGATATTCCAGAGCAGCAGGTCTTTATGCAGCCTGAATATTTGATCCTTAGTTTTTATGCTTCACATTATCCTCTTCCATTTATGTCACAAGGTATTTTACACACATATAGAAAAAAAAAAAAGAAAAAAGCTTATGCTTTTATTTTGAAGGCCTGCCTCGCTTCCGGTGGGGGGCGGAAACAACAGCACTGAACTTCCGCCCTCTGCAGCTTCGATCTACTGTGATCTTTCCTTGGGTCCAAAATACTTTCTCTAAAAGCATTCCAGGTAGTTTCCGGTTAAATTATTGGAAACAATGTTTGTTACTTTAAATGTTATTATTTTTCTTAAAAGTTTATATTCTGTAAGATTCTGCGTCATGCAGCTAGCTGATGTTTCTTTAAAACACAACAACACATAATGTAGCAGGATGGTTAGCAGTTAGCAGGAGCTGCAGAAAGCACAGATGATGCGTTCAAAGGTTCAGGAAATACTTGGTTAGCTCTGCTGTTAGCACCTTAGTGCGTCATCAACTGATGAATCTGCTCCTTCCAGGTGAGGAGATGACAGAGGAGAAGGAGGAGCAACCAGATGATCAGCAGGAGGCGGAGAAAGAAACGGAAGGAGTCAGGTAGAACATCTATCCTCTTTCTTTCCCACAAACCATCAGGAGACATGGAGGAAGGAGGCGCTTAAAGCAGAGGGAAGGAGGCTCCATCAGGAGACATGGAGGAAGGAGGCGCTTAAAGCAGAGG